AATCAATGTTAGCAAGAAAACAATACACATTTTTGTAGACACCCCTAATGCACTTTCTATATAACTGCCCACGTTTTGTAAACAATAAAATAATATTACGCTGTAAAATTAGAAAGCCTAAACAAAAACGTATTAAGTTATGGACACCCCTAATGTACGAATGTATATGACTGCTCAGTTTTTGCAAAAAAAAAAATATTATTCTATAAAAATAAAAAAGCGAAATACAAATGCAGTGAATTAAGGACACCCCAAACGTATGACTATTATTCAGTAAAATTAGAAAATCAAAACAAAAATGAAATGAATTTTGATCAAAATTATTCTGCAAAATTTGAAAAGCAAAACAAAAATTAGGTGAATTATGTGCATCCCTAATGGGTGTATATGCCTGCTAAYTTTTTACAAAACAAATATTATTTCCCTAAATTATAAAAGCAAAACCAAAATATATTAAGGACTCCCTTAATGTATGTACATATATGGCAGCTCATTTTTTACAAAGATATTATTTTGTAAATTTGGAAAAAACAAAACATAAACACAAAAAATTAAGGCCTCCCCTAATGTAAGAATGTATGACAGCTCTTTTTTTAATTTATTATGCTGCAAATTAGAAAGCGCATCATATTAAAAACTTAAAAATACTAAACCGTTAACATAATTTTAGTTTTAAATTTGCTGAAGATTCTTTTTTTTTTTTTTTTTGTTTTTTGATCATTTCAATTCGAATTTGGTTAGCGTTAATCGACTCGCGATCACGTGAATTTTTCACTTATATATATGAAAGTATTTTTTTCTTCAAATTTACATCAATTGCACTTGCATTGTGTTATCGCGTACAATTAAAGTGTTTGGCGCATAACATAGCTACACTAAAAACATAATTATAAGAGACAGTAAACTTGCGAAATAAAAGAAAAACCGTAGAATGATAATATATAATAATATTTGCGATTATAAAACTAAAAAATATATTTGCATAATTAAATATACAGCACTTAAAAATTAATATTTTGTAAAAAAAAATTTTTGTTGTTATACTATAATTATTACTTTTCATATTTTTTTCTTGCTCTGCAGATTCCTTCTTTTACCTATACAAACACAGACAAAAGAGTGTTTACATACATGGCACCGAAGTTGCGTGAAATGGAAAACCTGCCAGGGTTTAGCTGTGAACTTTCTCAGAAGGCGCCGTAASAAAAAGCTTGAATGTACTGGCGCCTAAATCGAAATTAAAAAACTTGCTGTTTTCCTACGCGCAATATATCAAATATTGGGCGGTGTGTGGGGATTTTTATGAATCAATCATAATTTGAAATTTATATTTCTTAAGTTGGAAAACATTTTCGCTTACAACTACATCACTTTTGATTGCTGCTTACATGACGAAAAATCCATCTGCATTTTACACMTACATACAAACAAAAGTACAGCAAATGTTAATTATAAAGAAGTTAGYATGAGCAAAATGTACATATCTACAAGCTCAAAACTGCCACTAACTGAGAGACTGTAGTTTATTTAAGGCCTGTAAGGAGACAGTTGTGTGTGGAACAAAATCATAGACAAAGTTAAAAATAATAAAGAGTATACCTAGACTACATACATATTTACAACATCCTACTTTCAAGAGTTATGTGCATTGAACCATGAATGTGTATATGCGAACAACAATCTCACCGCGCGCGCGCAGCCGCGCTGGTCCCACGCCGCATGCGTACAAAAGCGCGCCAAAAATAGCACAGAACAACCGCGCTACCAGCGGAAAACCATGCTCCAAGAAGCGGCCGCACCAGCTAATCGCGCGCACTAATAACTGGCGTACGCACGCATGTCGCCAACTGTCCGCTAATTGCAACAGCAACCGCTTGCAAGGCAGTTGGTTAGACGATGCGCCAGGCAACAAAGCGGCGCTTTGTCTGCGCACSCATGTTTAGTGTTGGCAACACTACAGCAGATTCTGCAACGCTGCCGCACCATTTAGCGCCAAGCCATGGTTCCAGTTGCGATAGGAGGCGGCCGCCGCATATTGTTGATAATTGTTGTACAATTGCTGGTGCTGTTGCTGCGCCGCCTGTTGTAGTTGCAGTTGTTGTTCTTCGTTCAGATCGGTTGTGATGTTCGATGCGTCATCCTGCAGCTCTGGCGGCGTCAGCTGACTTTGCAGCAATTGTTGTTGGTGCGCGCTGAGTTTGTGCGCACTGGAAGTACTGCTGGCGCTGTGTTGTTGCTGTTGTTGGTAGTGTTGTTGCATGGACTTAAGATAGGCCTTACGTTGTTGTTGCTGCATCAGTTGATGCGCCGCATGCGGGTGCGTCAATTGCTGATGGTGCGGATGATGGTGTGTGGCGCCATGATGATGATGGTGATGATGTTGCTCCAGGTGTATATCATGTGTATTCCCATTGCTGTTGCTGGTGCCGCTGCTGCTGCCTCCAATATTGCCGCCAATGTTCGGATTGTGCAGCGTATTGAGACCAGCAGCCGCTGCTGCAGCTGCGGCGGCACTACCAAAGATGCTGCTGCTACCAGTGGCGGCGTTCACGTTCACGTTGCGCAGCATCTGGTCAGCTCGCCCTTAAGCCAATGGGTACTGGTGATGTCACAAGCTAGTCGTGCCGGCTGGCGCATGATAGCCGAGACTCTGGTAGTACGAATCCTGTCCTAAGGCCGCATGTGTATTCGTCAAAGGGCTGAGCGCATTATAGCCGGGATACTGACTCATATCGTACATTTTGATGTCCGCCTTSGATTCGGGTAGCAGTCGATTGATCGAGAACGGATGGCTGGATGGTGTATAACCGGATGGTTCCTGCTTCAGATGATGCATGGAGGGGTGATAATCGCTGATCAACGATGGATGACATCTATTCACCATGGCGGAGAGCTCTTCATGTTGCAGCTGATGATGTTGCTGATGATGATGGCTGGGTGCATGTTGCGCCGCCTGTTGACCCAAACACAGTTCCGCATTGGCTTGCATCATAGCCAATTGATCACGACTGACAGCGCTGCTGAGCACACTGCCTGCGCCCCCAACTGTGGCGCCTGTCACATCTTTACTGTGATGATGTTGCTGGTGGTTGTCCAATCGGCTGTGATGGTGATGTAAGTGATGCGAGTCTTCGTGATCTTTCTTGCCGGGACTTGTTGCTTCGAGGCTGCTATGTGACGGGCTCTTATGTAGCTGGCGCAGCGCCTCCTTCTTCTCGTCCTTGAAACGTTTCTGGCGTCGCAAATAGCAGCCATTCTCAAACATATTGCCCGAATCGGGGTGCAATGTCCAGAAGGAACCTTTGCCTGGCTTGTCCGGTGTGCGCGGTATCTTCACGAAGCAATCGTTGAAGGACAACGAATGACGTATAGAATTTTGCCAACGCTGTTGATTCTGACGATAGAATGGAAACAAATCCATTATGAATTGATAGATTTCCGATAGCGTGAGCATTCGTGTCGGATTATTCTGTATCGCCATTGTAATTAGCGAGATGTACGAGTATGGCGGTTTGGCGTGTGTGTAACTCCGACGGTATGTTGTGGGCTTATCTATGCGTGCGCGATTTAACGAGTTCGGCGAACCTGTATCCAACTCACGTGCACTAGCTGCTGCCGCCATCGACGAGTAGCCACCCATAGCGGCCATTGTCGACATACCACCTCCCATACAATTGCCCATATTACCCAACGGCGAACCCATCGATGCATAACTCATCGAGCTCGGCGTCATGCAATTACCAGCCATGGAATTCATAGCCGCTGCAGCACCCATGCTACCGCTCATGCTTGCCACCGCTGCGGCGGACTCCAGCGCACCAAATGCGGCAGTCTGTGGTGATACTGAAGACATGCCACCGACGGGCATGGCCATCGAATTCATGGCGGTGTAAGCGCTACGTGCAAGCGGGCTCATTGTGCCACCGTTGCTGGTCGGGTGATTCGGATGCGGATTTGTAGGATTACCACCGCCACCTCCACTGCCACCGTTAGCGCCAGCACCGGCACTACTRGAACCACCACCACTACCAGCACCGACGCTGCTGCTCATGCTCACCGGAGGCCCGTTGCTTGGCGCCTCCGAGTAGAGCTTTTGCATGATGTCGATCGTCGTCTGGTGGGGCGATCCCTTCAGGAAACTGTTCAATAGTTGCGCCGTTATGTTGGCGGCTGTTCACTGGTTGCACGTATAAAAAATACAATTCAAAACAAATTTCCGACGGAAATAAGCGACGCGCACACTTTTTCACTGACGTGTCACGCTTTTCGTTACTTTTTTATTAGTGGGTGCGCTACCAAGTGGAGGTTCTTTGAAGTCACAGTTTTCCGTTGAAATTATTTTTATTATTTTTTTAGATTCTTATTTTTGTTTTTGTATGTATAGAGATACAATCGCATGTTTCATCCGTGCTCACTTGTCAGCGCGTTTCGACGTGGGATTTCACACTCGTTGGAAGGTGAGTCGTGGCAGCGCGCATGCACCAGGTCTGTAGCTGCTGTTCAGGCTTTGATAGAACAAATCAGCTCGCAATATTGTCAGTTTTTGTTAAATTCAAGACTTGAAAATCAATTGTGATTAACACTTGCTTTCACACACACTTTTCTTCTTCGACTTTTCACTGCAATCGAATTTTACACTCTTCATGCGCGTTCACTAACGTTTGCCTTGCCACCTTTTAACACCTCTTCGTCGTTTTATATATTTTTATTATATTTTTCTTAGGTATCTTCTATTCTTATTTCTTTTATATATATTTATTTGTTATGCGCGTAATTTTTTCCAACGAATTCGCGTTGTGTCAGTTCGTAAGTAAAATAAAGTTCTTTCGAATTTCGATATCGTTAGCTATTAAGCTAATACGACACTAGAAATGACGCTTCGATAAACGGATGGGTTGATTGGATTAATTTCAATTTGTGCGGATGAACGTGTCGTACCGTCAGCCGCGATAGCCGTACACTACAGTTAGACAATGCATCTGGCAAACAAAGACTCCAAAAATCGTTATAGAAAATAGCAAAGCCAAAGCAAGCACTTCCAACTTGACTCTAGCGTTTCACAATGCAGTTCGGTTATCGGTTGTCCGTTTCTACTTTTTCGGCAGCTGTGCGCGCTCGAGTACTCTTTGGCTTGAGCTCTTGAATGTGACTGTTTGCAGAGGGGAATGCCTGCTTACTATTTGGCTTACTAACAAAAATATATTAAGCGACGACGTATAACGACAGCAGCGGCAGCCGCAGCAGAATGGACAGAGCACCAGAGTCCCACGGCACATCCAATACGAGCGGCAGCACCARCACCAGACATACACCGCCACAGCGMACATGTATACACCGATAGGCCACTCTTGTGTAMATAAACATAGCTGTTCGGTGTGCGAGTGTGTGAGTGCGCCAGCAAATTGGTGTGCGCTTCGGTGGTGGCAAAACTGGCTCTGTGCGCTCGCTCAGCCTCGTTTGCGACTCGTTTCAGGCGTTTGTTTTTGCGCCGCTTCGTGCATATGCGTGTGCGTGTGTGCGCGCGATGTGTTTCCCTCTATCTAGCTTGAGCGGCCCACCCTTTCACGTACACTAGCGTACAAAATGAGCGTCGCTAAAAGCAGTTGGTGTTGTGTGCGCATAAGCGAGACAACTAGCGCTCGAGCATAGCGTCGCTTCAAGTGGCTCTCTTGCGTACACATAGCGTTGTGCAGACGCAAATACGCGTGCACCAACATCAACCGCATATACAGTGCTGAGGTGACAACCGCCATACACCTTACCTGCAAACAGCGCACGCGCATTGGCTGCTACTTGTTGTTGCACAGCAGCATTTTGTCCAACTGGTCGTTCGGATGCATAGCAGTTCGTGTTGTTGTAGCGCAAGTTCTTAAAGTGCAGTTTGTATCTGCGGCTCACCGGTTGCCAAGACGACGTGGGTGGAGCCATAATGGCGAGCACGCCCACAGCAGCATTGAAAGGCAACGGACGGCAGCGCACACACTATGCTCTTCACTTCCAATTATATACTCTCTGACAGTTTGACGTTTTCCATTGCGACGCGTGTAGCGCGGCGTAGAAGCAGCAGCTACTGTGACCCCATCAACATGGGCGCAGTTGAACGCACCTTCGGCGTGCATAGATACCCTGTCTTCTGTCTTCTAGGCTGCACTTGGCACACCACAACAGCGAAATGCTTATGGATTGCTTTTAATGCCATTTATCGGCGTCTTTGCCGGTTTCTCCAACAACTGAGCCCACTAACTGCGCTCGCCGCCGCAATCAATATTTGCGTGCTCTCCAAGCCATTGCAAGCACCATTCGCACCTTTCCATTACACACCCTGAATTTGGTTTGTTTTTTTTCTGGTTGACGTTTTCACCTTTCGATATTCGAACGCTTACTTTGATTTCGATAACGCTGTCATAGTTTCTCTGCGAAGACGAAACGTTTCATTAGCACAACGCTTGTCGATCCGTTGATAATAACTGCAAAGCCAACTGTTGTTTGCTTAGTGCAGAGAAGAGAATCGCGTCGCGACAGCAAAGCTCTATTCCAGGAGGCGTTGAGGAGGTCGCGCGCGCTGTAAAGGCGACGTGCTAATATTTTTCGGACAGCCAACTTACAGCGGCGATGGCGGCGGCGGCTATCAAGCAGCAACGCTGTCCGCAAGTGGCAGCAGCAGCAGAACCAACAACAACAGCAATGACAATTTGAAATAAAACAAACGCGTTTGATTTGAATTGAAAATTGTTTGGGACATTTTTGTTGCTGGCATCGAAGCTGCCGCCGCCGCGCCTCAGTCATTACAGCCGTTGTGCTTTGTTGCTTTATTTCAATATCGTTGCTCTCCTTCTTCTTGCTGTTGTTTTCACTGACGCTGCTGACTGCTGACTGCTGATATTCTATATATGTTTTTTAGTGAATTTTTAATGCAACCGCCTTGTGTTGAAATTTTCGAACTTGGAATGTGCCATTTTTGAGGTTAAGGTGGCTTCGCCAATGTCACATTCGATGGCGTAAGAACAAATGTCGTGGCGCGTATAACGCAGCAACATACAGGCGTCACGGTTTGTCGCGTCTCGTCTTGCTGCCAAATCGTTTGGTGCAGAACATTTGGTGTCGCCAGAACGTTTTCAACGCGCTCGCTTATTAKCTTCATTGTCGTTTGCAATTGCTGTTAATTCTATATTGCTGTCTTATTGTTGCTGTGGTTGTTGTTGCTGCATAGCTATTGTTAGTGTGTGTTTTTGTGTGACTTCTGGTGTTGGAAATAAGTTTTGTTCAAGCAATTTTGTCGAACTAAAAACTAAAGAAATTAATTTGAAATACAAAATGCAAGCGAAGACATATGCATACATACATATGCACATATGCATGTGAATTTACATATRTGCAATGATATGCAACTTGTGTTGTAGTGAAAGTGTATAAAACTTGAGTGTGTGTTAAAATGGCGGCATTCTGTTAAATTTCTTTAGTTGATTATGCTATCTTTTATATTATTTCTTGTTATGCCTTTAACCTTACTTTTAGTAAAAAGCCAATACCACTCCGCATTTTAACATAAACCATGAAAATCAATAGAAAACACCTAATGAGCACAATCAATGGAAACAAAAGTCAGTTTAAAAATAGTATAAATGTTAACTTTGGTTGTACCGAAACTCAAATACCCTACACAAATACAAAATAGGACTATTTCGCATTAATACAGACAGACGGAGATGGCTAAATCAACTCAGCTCATGTCCGACGTTTGCTTTTGAATGTTACAAATATGGTGGAAAACTTAATATACGGTGTKCAGGGTATAATTGCAGAAAGTTAATATTTAATCGAATATATGTATAAGCATCTTACTAATCTCATTTTTGATAAAAGTTAAGCAAAAAATTGAGAAAATCTATGTCAAATAGTGTAAATAAAATTAATTAAATATTTCGGTTCTTTCACTTTCAAAAGTATGATTATTATTTCGATTTCAATGGTAAATTAGTGATTTCAGAAAAAAGTTTAACGAAATGAAATTCATATAAAAACCTCATCAAAAAAAARGGKTTTTCAACATAAAATTTTTCAAAAYAAATTTCCACCCACRGATAACCCAGTACATTGACTACAGAATTACTTTTTTTTTTTAGTATTTTGTACGTGCTTCGTACTTCGAACTATGTTACTATGCAACTTATGGTGCTTTTCTCGGCCAAAATGTCTGGGACCGAAATTACATGTGKGTATGTCATTGCCTCTTGCACCTGTATTAAAAGCTTCAGTAAGGTTTTCCTTGATTCCCAGCTTAGTTTCCAGCCGACTCTGAGTGGTTGATTGATTTTCATGAGTGGACATTTCTTCATGGCAGAAGGTTAAGAAAATATTGAATTTCAAAAAAACAAAATTATTTTGACMAAAGTGCACTAAACCATTAATCAATTGGTTTATATCAATCAGTTTCAACATATGTATAAAACTTTAATTAAATTACTAATGAATTAGCTTTTTTAGTAATTGAATTTTTCAAATCGGACCACAATGGTACTCGTAAAGTATTGGCTGATGCACGGACAATTTCGTGTTTGCTTTGATTCGGACTTTAGCTTTGACAGTGCAAGTTTTTGTATGTGTATCAGCGTCGTATGACGACAAACAAGTTCCGAGATGAAGCAAAAGAAAGTGATGCTTTGACAAGCTGATTTTTCCGTGTTTAAAGGGTATATTAAGTTTTAAACRAATTTTGAAAAGTTTCGAAGTTGTCGAATTTTTTTATTTGACAAGATCTCTAGCTCTACTTGCTTTCATTGACTTTTGTATTCCAAAGCGCTTGAAGCAAAAGTAGATTTGGTCTCTTTTCATATGCTTTAGTATAGTTCTATTCAGTTTTGACAATTCTCACAGGAAAGCAAGTGAAGCCAGTCAGCATTATGCCAGGCCCTGAATTGAAGAACTGTCTCTGATAGGTTCACTATAGCTTGTGGTTGGTATACAAACCGAAAATTAAGGAAACCATTTGACAAGATATATTCGCGAAATTTGTTAAGAATAATACATGAAAACGGTGTTTTACAAATATTTTTCAGATCGGACCACCATTTCACAAATGTGGCTGTCACACAAACAGACAGATCAAAATCAAGTTCTCTKAWGAAAAATTTAACCTGTGATRGGCTAGCTGCGGTGYAGTCGAAGTTAATATATTTTCTTGTTAYTTTAATTATATTCTCATTGTATTGAAATATATTTTTGAAACTTTGATTAGGACATTGAGTCCATTGAGATGAAAATAACCAAACAAGAAATTTTATACATCAGAAAGCAGCATGGAAAGTAAAACCTTCATTTTGCGTACCTAATGGTTGTGTCGCTTTAATGTCATTGTAAGAACTGTCAAGCGAATCATTGAATGTTCTTTATAAATAAATGATATATTATTATATATCGTCACCTAAAATGCAAAATAATGTATCTTAAAAAAAAAATAAAAAAAGGTAAAGGGCCGCCATTTTGAATCAAAATGTCATGTACATATGTATATATACATACATATTTTACGTACTCAAATTCATATTTAGTAAAGCCTAAAATAAAGAATTTGATTCCTCTAGACTAATTCCCACAACAAATTCTCAAAACTGAGCCAATTTTGTAGACGCTGGGCTGACCCAGCTCCTTAAGTAAATTATATGATGGCTTGCCATTACATAATTTACGACTCATTCAAATTCATCTTCAATAAAAACTAAATTGATTTTGTTTTCCAAATTTGTGTCATCAATTATTGGTACTATAAGGATAGATCCGAAATTCTCTAAGCATTTATTTATATAAGACCTTGCTCAATGACCACGCTTCAATAGTAAAAATATTTACAAAATAAACTAAAATATGAAATTTTCTAGCAGGTACTGGCATTGCATGTGTGCCCATTTTCGCAATTACGGATTAAAACTCTTAATTTTAACGCCCTTTCGGGTTAARTTTCATGAAAATAACGTACGTACTACAAACCACATAATTTCATGCATACAATGGCATAAACAATATTTACTGGATGCATAACGAGCACACCCAATATGTGACCTTCAGAAATTTAGGATGACCAAAGCAAATTCATTGTACTTATATAATGTAGATAAGTATATACGGAGTAATTACAAAAGGTGTCAAGGCGCTTAGAGATAACAAAAATAGTAAAATAGTA